ACTGCAACTCCGAGAATCCCCCAGCCAGCATGCTGGCTGGGGAATTCTGGGAGTTGAAGTCCACACATCGTCAAGTTGCCAAGGTTGAAAAACACTGCTCTAAAGGGAGAGATCCTAGAAAACAAGATGTTAATCTGAAGCATGTTTGCCCCTAAGCTCAAGCCAAAAATACAATAAATGAAGATTCTGCCAGTTAACTGAAATCATTGCCTAAATGGCAAGTCATGTTATAACAAGAACAATAAACCTCTGGGGGAAAGAAGCTGCATTTGCTGCTCTCCTTGACTCTGGGTTGTATGAATTGAACCAAAACCTCATCAACATCTAAAGGAAATTTAAACTCTTGATTTTTCTGCACTGCTTGACCATACCTATAAGCCCTTTACATCATTTATCCAGCTGTGGGATATTGCAAAATCACAAACACTTGGGTTTAACAAAAGACACATGTGTTTCCTTTTCTGGTTTTGTAAAGCCCCTATAGAAGGAACTGAATGTAACACCTTTACTTAGAAAGATACTGTTAGGAGACAACATAAGCACCATTTTCTTGAGATTTTGAACATCAGCCAAATAGATCATTCTTTGTTATTTACGACCAATAATTCCACCTGATGTAAGTTATCATCCCTATATCACTATTAATTAAGGGCTAAGTCAAGGAATACTGTCCTGTTTAATGAAAAGCATGAATGGGCTCAAGCTGAAGAGACGAGAAGTTCTCCTGGGAGAGGGTATCTGTTGACTCAAAAACATTGTCCCAGTTTACAGATCAGATTAAATAGGTTTTGTTGCTCTGTTCTTCTTCCTTCTCTTTCAGGAGAGCATGGATCTTCTGCTTTAGCTGTCCAGCCTTTTCCTGAGCTTCCTGGCTAACATCTGGATCATCTGCGTCTTTCAAAGTTTCCAGAATCAAGTCCAGTGCGTTGGCATTCTTGACAGACTCCATTTGCTTGGGTTCGACTTGGATCTCTTCCACCCAATCCAGATACTTCTGGAGCAAACCCACATCAGACAGGAAACTGGTGACAATCTTAAGTTTGGGTTTTCTGTGACGCAACTCACAGAGGATCTGTTGGCCCGTTTGGCTAAGTCTGTTTCCTGGGACACTGAGAAAGGATTTGAAATTGGTGTGGTGAGACGCAGTTAAAAGGAGTGCTGTTACAATAAAGCTAAGATAAGCGATGAATTACTTCTAATACCAAAAGCAAAAGGTACAATTGCGTTTACTTTCTAATGGAATTGCTGTGTGGCCAGGCAATCCTCGTTATTCGCAGGTTCCATATTTGCAAATTTGCCTATTTGCTAAAATTTATTTGTAACCCCGAAATCAAGACTCGGTTCTTGGTTATTTGCGGACATGCACAGAGGGGCAAACATTTTTTAGTCACCGCTCTGTGCATGTGTGCGTTCTCTCAGTGGTCTCGCTGGTTAAAATGGCCATCAAAAGTAAGGTTTTTAAATAAAACTTTAAATGCTTAATCTTTATTTTTTTTTTCCAGGGCTTCTTTTTTTGTAAGAAATATATAAACATGAAATAAGGTGCCTTTAAACAGAAGCACAATAAAACAGGGTTATGTATTGATTGATTGGTTGATTAAAACGATGTGACCAGAGGCTTATAGGACTCTAACCCTGTATTTCCCTAGGAACAATGGTTCAGTATTTATTAATTCAGTGTTCGTAGCAATTTTATAGAATGTAACTACTGCAAATAATGAGAATTTACTGTATTTTATTAGCAACTATAAGAAAAAAATGATGGCATCATGATGGTTAGCCTTCCCCATCCTGTAGTCCTCCCTATTTCTTGGGCTGAACCTCCTCTCATCTCCAGACAGACTATCCACAAGGTGGAGGGGTACGATGGGTCTTGTAATCCAACCTACACACAATTCTTGTATGAAGTATCCCAAAAATTTTTTTAGAAAAGCGAAACTTTGGAGCAATTTTGCACAACTTATAATGAGAGTGGTGCTATTTCCATCCCACGTGTAATATATCAATATTGGAGGTGTCTTCAATAATACGTACACTAAATTTTCCAGCATTTTTGTTTGTTAACCTTTACACAGATGGTTTGTAACAGGTTCCACTCTTTTCCCTCTCTTGTAATTCTGTTAAGGTAGTCTTCTTCCCCAACTGAGTGCCCTTCAATTATGTTGGGTTTCAGTTCCCATAATTCTCAGGCCAGATGCCCAATGCTGGCTCGAAATCAAGTGAATTGACCTCCAGTTGAACTGGTGACAGCTCACCTAGGATTTTGAATTAATTTTCCATGTATCTTTGCAAAGTCAACATTAAGGCAATCAGAGTGTTGGCGAAAAGTCTCAAAATGAACAAGTAGCTAACCAAACTCACCTCAGGAGCCTGAGTGTTGTATTTCCTGATAGAGAATCCAAAATGTTATTGAGGCCTCTGTCCGTCATGTCCGTCATGTCCATGTGAAGCTCTTCTAGGGTGGCATTATTGCGAAGGGCATTCCATAAGAGATTTGCCCCGTGAGATCTCAGGCAGTTTCCACAAAGCCTAGGGTGGAGTAGAAAATGTATGCAAAGTAACAGGCAGTTTTATTTAGCCTGCCAAAATCATCCAGACGTTGCATTCCAACTCACAACATCTTGAGAAGTCTTAAGTAGGAAAGTGCAGATGGTTTTATCAGAATGGATTCAATCTGGCAGATCTTAGGGTTTTTCAAATAAAACTGAAGAAAGGACTAAAGAGCCCACCCTGGCCATATAGTAAGGGGGTTCCACCCAGTTAGCATAATAAGGTCTCCTGGTGAGGCTCTCTTCCTACCGCAGAATATCAGCTGTGGCCCCCAGCCACCCAAAGAACCAGTCCCTTTGTTATTTATTCATTTTCTTGTCTGAATAAATTTTCTACAGATGGGGGAAAAGGGGGGAAAGTTTGCAGAATTTTTGGAAAGCTTTCCATCCCTTTTACCAACAGTTGGCATAGGAGGCTCCAGTGCAACAAAATGATATGTTGTAATTGTGTGTATGCGTGCAAGCTCTACTCTGGATAAGGTGGCCAGGAAAGGTGGAGCTTAGAATGGAGCATCAGCAATGCTTCTGAGGCACTGCCCAACTATCCCTCCAATGGGGATGCCCTGGGGCAATTATTTTTCTTTGTAGCCCCTGGCCAGATCTAGTCCATTTTTCACCCTGGTTGGATTTTTTTTTTTCTGGCTTCTCCCACCATACCAAAGATGGTCACTTTGGGTTCAGTTTTTGGAGAGTTATCCTGCTGAGAGAGGGAGAGAGTCTCTCTTTCAATCTCTTTCCAACCTTCCATTGATAGAAACAGTGGGACAATCCAGGAGGGTTCTAAACCAAATAGGAAGTCCAAAACCCACTATAAAAATCTGTAATTTAGGAAGCTTAATTGCATGAAGAAAGTTTCATCAGAAGTAGTCCTAAAGCAGTGTTTCTCAATCTTGGCAACTTTAATATGGGTGGACTTCAACTCTCAGAATTCTGGGAGTTGAAGTCCACACATCTTAAAGTTCTCAAGGTTGAGAAACGATATGTGGACTTCAACTCCCAGAATTCCCCAGCCAGCCTGCATTTTAAAGGAAGCATTTTATGAGAGTATCTACTCACATCAGTCTTTTCAGACAGCACCGGGGGGATCTTAGGACGGCTGCTTCGATTGCTGCTGCTTGCCAGTCCAGAGAATTATATCGCAGTCTGAAACACAATGAACTCAGTTTGCTTCACTTGGCTACAGAATTAACCCATTAGCCCATTTTGTGGATTTACACAACCCACAGAACCGTCAGCTTATCAAACCGATTAAACATCAAGGTTAACCACCTCTGGCGTGCTTGTACGGTTACAGTCACTATCTTTAGCTGCCCTGGTTAAACAGGTCAGATTCCTCTTTAGGACAAGTGTGATCAGGATTTAATGAACCAGAAAAGGGAACTTGTGTGGTATTTAAAGCAGCACCACCATCACCCACAACTGCTTGTCCTAACCATCCTCTCCAGATGGGCTTGGGTTTCAGCTCCTTGATTTTCATAATATAATGTGACCCATTTGGAAGGCACTAGATTGAGGATGCCCCATCGGCATAAATATGCACCACCTAGTTGCAATTGGAATGGGAGAGTTTCTTTGGCAAGAGATTAGTTGGAGAAAGAAAAAAAACAAACTTTAAACAAAGGCTTGAGGAAGGGACTTTCTAAAAGGGTGAAAGAGCAGAAATGAAACTTAGGTAGGAACTCAGAACTACGCAAGGAAAATGAGAGGTGGGGGCAGAGGAAATATTGTGGCAGAGAACAACATGGTTATGGGTGGCAGAATTCAAGGAGGAGACATGAAGGTGACAGGCTGGAGAGAGAAGAATTGGGCTGATCAGGCAGGACATGTGGTTGGATTGCTTAGCAGGTACTATGGCTTTACAACCGCAAGCCTCCAGTGAGGGACCAGCTCCAAAGAGACCTCAGGGAAAGGTTGCCGATTCTGAGTCTGTGCGTGCCCATGTGTATGCAGAAGGAAAGGGGCTAGTTGCAAGATCCTTTAGCAAGAGCTATTGCTATAAAGACAAGAAAGGGATTCACTAGATCAATTCCCAACAGAGTTGTTCCACATGATTCTTACTGCAGTATAAGAGGACAGTAACCGCATTTTCCATTTTAAGTATTTGATTTCTGTAAAGTAGTTTGGATAAGAAGACTAAGAATAATTATACTTTTGGGGGGGTGGTGACCTCTTTGTTTAGGTTTGAATTTTCCAGGAAGGGGTTGGAGCCCCAACCAGGGTGGAAGCATTGGGTTGAGTGTAATGATGTTAAACCCCAAAAAGTGGATAGGAGCTAGGAAGTCCAACAGTGTAACCCAATTTCTGAATAAGTTAATGAAGACGCTACAAATAATCCTTCCTTCCATGGACAGGTCATCCTAGCAACTACACTTTTATGAACAGGAGAGGTTCTAGAATTAGTCTTCAAGGTTTAGCACATCCATAAAACTCTAATTCCCCAGGAATGTCACGGCATGGAAAAGGCAGAGGATTCAAAGTAGTTTTAAAGCAATGCACCTCTACAATGTGGAGTAGATCTGCCCCAGATTCTGCCTCTCTTGCATAGCTGGGAATAGGATATTGATTTCTTGCCATCTCATCATCCCCACCTATTTAGGTCAAAGCCAGCCAACTGCCAAATAGATACTCACTGCAAAGTTTTGCAGTGACAGAGATGCTCCTGAAGCTGCTTCAGTCCTTCGGTGCCCATATTGCTGTAGCTCAAGTTGAGATTCTGGAGCACCTGAGACTGTGAGCAACTCAGTACATATCCCAAAGCTGCGCAATCAGCCACGTTCAATGACACCTTGAACAGATCCACCTCGTCCATCTTGGAAGCTACCTGCCGGGTCACATCATCCTGGTGCAGCTCTGCTAAGCAATGTATCAAGGACAGCAACTTCTGACCTGATTCATATGAAACCTTCTTCCCAAACCAGTCTGCCAAACGCCTGAATGGTTTCCCTGTCAAACTCCCAGCCAATCCTTCCAGCTTGCCTTCTAGTCTAGCGGTCAACAACCCCATGAAAAACCTGGAAAACATTTGCAATTTGTCCCACTGTGGGTCTCTGTTCAGGAATTGCCAGGTATAACTGTAAAGTCCACTGGCAGATCCCTCTGCTGGGGACAGAGGGCTACTGGCAGCTCCATCTTCTGCAGTTTTTCCATTCCACCAGAGATCCAGGCAAGAAGTTAATTCGCTAGCATCGAAGTCCAAGATAATCACTGAATATAATGCAGCCAAAAACTCCTGTATGGTCAAGTGGAAGAAGCTGTAGACTTCATTGGTCTCCTTGAAGAAAATCTGATTCAGGTAAGCAGATGGCAGGTTCTGTGGATCAAAACCAAACTCCTGTAGGTCATCTGCATAGAACACAGTCTGTCCCCTTAGCAGACCAGCATAGGCAAGCTCACCAAGCTGCAGTAGCAAGTCTTTGTCCCTTCTTAGATCACACTGAATTGCTGCTGCTTGTTGAGTTGGAGGCTTGTGCAACTGCAGGATGGTGCACACATAAAGAAGATATATCTCCGTGATGGTGCTGGGTGGGGAGGCCTGGTTCATCCCCTCATCTGGGAAGTATTGCCCCAGAGCTGTACAGAGAATGAAGCAGTAGAGAGGAATGAAGGTAAAGTTGGCTAAGCCATGGTGAGATGAGATGTAGCTCAACACTTCCATGCCATGTTTGGGGCTCTGGAAGAACTGGAAGAAATAGTCCTTTACCTGTGCTTCTTGTAAACCAAGGACAAAAACATGACGGTTAAAAAGATCTGATGGGAGGGTAATGGAAGATCTGGATGTGACCAAAATGGTGGACTCAGGAAGCAAGGTCCCATAGAGGAGACCACACACCAGATCTTTCACATGGGCTGACTCATGTGACCAGAGGCAGGGTTCTTTGCTGTCCAGTGGATGCCTGAACTCATCCAGTCCATCCAAAATCAGGAGGAGCTCCCTCGGTCGCTCCAGCAGTGCAGGGAGAACTCCGTTCAGGTGTGTGAACTTACAGCAGATCAGCTCTTCTAAACTCTGGGTTGTGGTGATGAGACTCAGCTCCTGGAAGGAAAAATCCAGGACACAAAGAAAACCTTGGAAGGCTGTGCCCAGTGCCCAGTGATGGAGGATCTGCTGGACAGTGACAGTCTTGCCGATGCCGGCAGGGCCACTCAGCATCACACGATGAGGTGGGGAGCTCTCCTGGGGAAGAGGAGAGAAAAGATGACGCAGGTCCAGGCGGGAAGAGGCATGGAAGGAATGGAGCCATGCCCGCTGAGAGGCCAGCTGCACGTAGTCATGGCTGGTGGGGCTGGAATAGGGCCTGTTGAGTAGCAGGAGGTCAGGATAGTAGATTGCAGGACATTTGCATGGCTCACTATCTTCCACATTGGTGCGCAGCTTGTCAGTTTGGGTCAGCAACAAGCGACGGTAGTTTTGCAGGGCAGCTGGGAAAGCAAGAACAGAAGTAAATTTGCAGTATGATTTTGATGAAATAGGCAGCGTTGAATGTTAGGGAGTATGCAAATCAATATCAAATTCCCATTTGAAGAATATCTTTACATGGTGGAGCTCAGAGATGAGGGTTATGGAAGTCAGCTAGCTGGTCCCGGCTTATTGCTCCTTTCACAAAACAGAATCAGAAACTAGGCTGTACGCTTGGATCAGTGTGCAGATCAGGTAGCCCATGACCCAACCTTGTTTGTCTTACAGTCTCTAATGGGGATCACAGAAATAAATTATATACAGGAAGACTCAGCTTATTTATGATAAGCCGTGATTTCTGAGAAATTCCCCAGTTTGCCAGCTGTAGGATGACGGTATTTTATCATCAGTGCTGCTCCTTCCAATTCCTCTTTTCCCGCTATGGTAGCAATTTGGGTGAACATGTTTAAGTCAGGGTTAATTTAATTTAATTTAATTTAATTTAATTTAATTTAATTTATTCAACTGAGATGCCACCCAATTCCAAGCAACTCTGGGCAGCTCACAATATAATAAAGAAGATAAACTACAACAACAATCCAAAGCAGAACCAACAAAACAATTAAGTAAAAGAAGATAAAGAACAAGATGGTGAATCCAATCAACAATAAATTCAGAAGGGGCTCCAGCTACCCTAGGCCAAGGCCTGGGAGAAGAGTCAGGTCTTCAAGATCCTCCAGAAGGCCACCCAGATTGCAGGGGAAACTGCTTTCTGGAGGGTAGGTGCTGTGACAGAGAAGGTGCAGCTCTTGGGTCCTGAAAGATGACACTATTTGATTGAAAGGACCCAAGGTGCACCAACCCTGCTGGAAGCTTCTGAGTGGTCTTCAAGGGCAGCCTTATGTAATAATTGAGTTGTGAAGTGACTAGAGCATGAGTGACTGTCTGAAGGGCCTCCTGATCCAGGAAAGGGCTCAGCTGGTGCACCAGATGAACCTGTGCAAAGGCCTTCTTGGCCGCAGCTGTGACCTGCTCATTGAGGCCAGGGTTGATCAGAGGCCACCAGTTGTTTGCTCCTAACAAACTTCATCCATACCTTCCTGTTCCTGGGATTATCTTTCTCCACATGTCCCATCCCCCTATTTGGTTCTTGTTGGATAATCTGCTTCTTTTATTCCTTTGCTAGAGGATCTTATCCAAAGTTGGGCAACAACCAGTTCTGCCCCTGCTTCCTCCTTCTCCTCCAGCTTGGTTGGACTGCTGGATTTTATCTTGGATCTTACTTAAGAGGGGACTGAACTAGCTTCCTTCTCATCAACAGGCGCTATGGTTGTAAAGGAGGCAGCTGGCAGAGGTGAGACAGGAGAGTATAGAGGTGACCAGCCTGTGCCTGCTGCTGAAGACTAGGAGGTCTCCTCTCCACTCAACCTGAGCTTGCTGGGCCTCAAGGGAAAAGAAAGAATTTGGCAACTAGTTTGCAAGAACTTCATACCAAACCTGCTGATAACATCCCTGTTTTTCACTTTTTGATATATTTACCTTTGATTTGTCGATTCAAGCCCCTGCGGAAAGTTGAGCAGTTGTTCTTTTGCATATCTGCTGGGACAGGAGAAGATCATTGTGAAATCGGCCATCTGGAGTTTTGGCATCCCAGGTCTGGGTTTGCATGACTCAGTAAGCTGGAGACAAGCAAACTACATTATAGCTTAATGCAGTATTTCTCAACCTCAGCAACTTAAATATGTGTGGACTTCAGCTCTAGAATTCTGGGAGTTGAAGTCCACACATCTTCAAATTGTTGAGGTTGAGAAACACTTGCTTAATGCAATGTGGGAACTCAGGTATCAACTGAATGTCCTAAAGCAAACTCTACCCAGTTAAAGAAATCTGGTCAACTAGCCTCAGATTTAATTGTAAGCAGTTTTAAAAGACCATCTCAACCAGAATAAATATGTTAAACAAATAAAAACTCCCCATAGGGTGATGTGGAAACATAACTTACCTGCAGATATCTGTGGCAACTTGTACTTTTTGGGTTTCTTCTTTTTAGATGGAGGATCTAGAAAGAATAGAAACAATTTAGAAGCTGCAAAAGGTCTAACTCTTGGCTTGAAATTATTCCTCTCACTGGGCTCATCTTCCTGTCCCATTAACTGCAGGATGATCATTACACCAGTAACCATTTTTGCCTTGTGACGTGTACTTTATCTAATCTCCAGCCCACAGCTGAAGCAGCTTAAAGTCAACTTTAGCTGTTCCAGGTATAAAATAATGTTTTACCTCTTTTCTCAACCCCATTTGTGTTGTGGATATGTTGGCCCTTCAAGGTGGACCAGACCAGGAAACCAAAGTCATGTAAGCCAATACTACTTTTATGGTAAAGATATAGTAACAGAAACTTGAGGATTGGCTTGGGAGATGAACATTAAGTGAGTGACTTGCTAATCCCTAGGCAGAAGAGCCCCTGAAGAACAAGCATGTAGTCAGGCCTTGTTTCCCATTTAGCTAATACCAATCGTGCCATGGTGATACCTGGTAGAATTAGAAAAGGTTCTGCTACGCTCGGCTTGGACACATTCTCTTGCAGCCAATGCTGAAGATCGGGGCTGTAGATCTCTTGCAGTTCCTTCAGCTTCTCCAGGAATATTTGGCTTTCTATTGGCTTGTGACTGACCCTCTCCAGAATGGCAATAACCTGGTTCTTCCTGAGACTGCTCTCCAGCAAGGAGAAATACTCCGACTGGGTGATGAGGCCAGAGCCATGAAGCCAATGGAGCAGAGGAGCTGGACATGGTTCGAGCCAGCACACAAGCTGATCCCAGTAGTCCTGGATTAGGTGAGAACAACCTGCAAAATCAGCCATCTGCACAGATGGAAAAAGGAAGAAAGGATGTCAGAGTTTCTGTGGGGAGGAATAGAGTAATTCCTTGGGCCTTATACAGTGGTACCTCTAGTTACGAATGCCCCTCCTTACGAATTTTTCGAGATACGACCAGCTCCGGCCCCAAAAATTTACCTCGTGTTGCGAACCATCTTGAGTTACGAATCGGATCTGCGGCCATTTTCCCTCCCGTGACGCATGGTCCGCGGCCATTTTTCCACCCATGACACGCGGTCCGCGGCCATTTTTCCACCCCTGACACGTGGTCTGCGGCCATTTTTCCGCCCCTGACACGTGGTCTGCGGCC